CTGAAGTTCTATGTTCCATTCAGAACTTTTTTTCCTCCACGTTTCCAGTGGAACATAGGGCTTCAAGCTAGTGGCTTGAAGTTTCTGTAGCAGTGTTTAATTTTACAGGATAGGGTTGCTAGCCTCATGCCCAACCTTTACTCTTTACCAGGATTATTTCTGGATTAGAGAGGTAAAGGAGTGCGTCGGCCGGCGATCGAACCCTGGACCATGTGCATGGTCGGCGAGCGTCCTAACCGCTGTGCCACTGAAGCATTCAGAACTTAAGGGGACACTAATAATAAGAACAAATTTATCACAAAAAAGAGACAGAATTTTGATTAGCTGAGGAACTCTGGCTGTGGATCAACCGATAATGTTATAAAACTAGCCATTCATAGACAGAATGGTTTTGTGTAAGTCACCTAACCAAAATTCAATAAGAATGGAACCAACTACTTAAACAAGCGAATTAATTATACCTCAACAACAGTCTATTACCTAATTAAAACACTTTCAATCTTTTTAATGGTGAACTGTCTTAGTCCATAAGACAACGGCGAAACAAAAAACTGCAGTTTATGTTTTGCCATAAAACAGTTTTGTACACGGATGTGTAATCCTTGAAAGTGTGTATACTGGTCTTAGTGAGAGATTTCAAAATTATTTCACTTTACATGCATGTTAACACAGTTTATTCTAGTAATTTGCAAATTCCCATATACACATTTAGAAAAAAACAGACTAAGCGAAAGAAATATGCACTCCCTTTCAATTAGTTCGTCATTATCGGCTTGTTCTACACTAATATGTGGCTGTTTTTTTTACATCAAAATGTTTTACCAATCAAGTGGTTATTTCAGTTAATCAGTTTTAGGTATAAAGGGTGTGTGAAATTAAGAGGTTATAAGTCATCAAACCAGTTAACTAATAGATGTTAGTAACAAGATATTTAAGTTTTAAGGGAGGAGTGAAGATTAATTACGGAATTCAAGATTAAGTTGATTCTAAGGCGTTAGCAGCAAGTTATTACATAATCAAGAAATTTGTAAAATAATGATGGATGTGTCTTCCTTATTCACCAGTGTGCTTTTAGTGGAAACAGTGGATTACATAGGTAATGAATTAATAAAGCCAGCTAGGTATGAAGAAAATAATTAATGTGTCTTCCTTAGATGAACTTCTGAAGTGTACAATGACCGTAAACTTTCTGCTCAATAGAGGAATGTATAAACAGTTAGATGGTGTTGCCTCGAAATCACCACTAGGCTTAATCCTAGCGGGTGTTATAATGGCGAAACTAGAGAATGATCCTCTTAAATATGTAATGTATAGTCTTGATTTCTATTGCCGATATGTCAGTGATACATTTATAGTTATGGAGGAAGAAAGTGAGATCCTGGTATAAGCTTCACTGAAGAAGCAGAAGAAAATGACTCTATCCCCATCTGGACGTTCTAATGACTAAGCGAACGATATATAGATTTTCGCAGAGAGAACCTACTTTCACTAGACAATAAACTCACTTCCTAAGTTTCATTCCTCTACAATACAAATGTAATTTGTTTAGATGTCTGGTTTACCCGGCTAGAGTTGTTTGATCAAATGAGACGCTAAACGAAGAACTCGGTAATATTCGTGATCTACTAAGTAGAAACGGATATATGACTAAAATCTTGAACAAACACATGAACTCAGACAGTAAAACGTCGGAGATGCCAACTGTTTTCAAAAATCAGTCTTCCTAAGATGACAATTCACAGGTAATGCCAATAGCGAGATCTTATCACAGTGTCTGAGAAGGGCCTTCAAAAGGACTTTCAATGCAGCTAAGCTATGTTGTATATTCATTCACTAGCCAACCAATACTTAGTTCAATAAATAAAGACAAACTGCCCCGTTGCGCGTACGATCAAGCAAGTTCATAGTCGAATTTTTGAACACCTCCCATATTGGTTTAGCAAAGGTCCAAATAAAGCCATAAGCAGCTCAACACCAACCCATCTCGTGGATACTGGACATCAAGTCGACTCACTCTAACAAAACTTTTAAAGTTATTTAACGTATATCACCCAACCTCTCGAGTATGACATTTACACACATTCTGTAGAGGCAATCGGAATCCATCTGCACGAGCCAAATCTGTGTGTTCAAAAGAAATTTGTACAGCCCCTTTATTTGCCGTGGCCAACTGCATAATATATATATATATATTCAGTTTTTAAAAACTATTTTCCCCTCTTCTTTTAACCATCTTTTGACTTTGTTAATTTTTACAATTCTAGCTAATTCTATTAAGTTGTTTGTATTTTTATGTACTTCTTTTTAGTCATCCTATTCTTCTTAATCATCATTGCTATTTTACAAATTTCTTGATTACGTAATAACTCGTTTCTAACCCCTATGAATCAACTTATCTTGAATTCAGCAATTAATTTCCATCCCTCTTTTAGAACTTAGATATCTTCTTATTAATTTTTTTTCTATCACAGCTTGATTCCACACCCTATTTTTGGTACAGGTATGGAATTTTCAGCGTGTGATATCGGTAGCCTAAATTTCGCAGGCCGACCATAGATATCTGGTGTGCATCGGCAGAGAATCGAACTTCGGACCATGCGAATGATCAGCGAGAGTCCTAACCTCTTTTCCACCAACACACATAACATATCTAGTGCAAAAATGTTGGCCTGTACTGTGAGATTCAGCTACAGGAAGTAAAAAAGAATATTAACATCTATGATGAGAAACTAATTGAAAAGGAATGCTTATTTCTTGGCTCAATCTTGTTTATTTTCTAAGTAGTTAATTTATCTTATTATTTGCGTCTTCGTTTCGAAAACACAGTTTTTAAGTGACCGCAGAAATAGAATGATTCTTTAATTATGTAAAACGGGATAAAATGTAATTGAATTCTATTCAATGAGAGCTTTAAATCGAAAGCCTATGAAATTAATACCAACACTCTGTCTGTATTCTCCGCATCAGTTTTTCAGTGTTAGTGAATGATCGCCATCCATCCATCCATTCACGTGATCCGGAGTTCAATCCCCCGGTTGACATACTACTCCTCAACCTTGCTAAACAGGTTGTACTCCGGTAACAAATTAAAAGGTTGAGTGTGGAGGTAGCCATGCTTCTCAACCCGTAAAAAAGATGAACAATATTACCACCCAAACTTCAATGTTCGAAGCTTGAAGCCTTATGTTCAACTTGGAACGCATAGGGTAAGAAATTAGTATTCCCCTTGAAATGTTATATGAAACTTAGTACAGTGGTTGTTTGATCGGAAATAATTTTAGAAAAAAGGTTAAAAAAAATCTCTCAACGTTACTCAAATTCTAGTCCAATTTCTTGTATGTTAATACTTTGGTCAATCTTAAAGTCATATTTCAACCTCCTCAATACTATACATAATATTTGTGTTTTTATAGTGAAATGTACTCATACATGCATGTGATCATTAATTCGCACACTGTAAAATGTATATCACAAAGTACTTACTACTATGTCACGTACACACGCATACACCAGGCAGCATGAAGTAATGGAATACGTTTTCAGTCATTTTTGCGCAGGATAGATCACTGGAAGTAATTCCTAGCTAAACAACACATTTGTCTAGATATTTAAATTCTTCTTATGAATTTCAACAGACATTTACACTAATGGAGGAGAATTTTAGCTCAGGTGTAGAACTCTGGTGTTGATGAGAGTGTAGGAAGAATACCTACTAACTGTCTTCAAAAAGAATGTATATCCTTGCAATTTTACAAAAATGTGTTTAACGTCGAGTTATAACACCAACAAAAAAATAGCATCAATGACTACAAAAAAATTCACTCTACTATATGTAAGGAGTATCTCTGAAATAACGGGTAGAAATATTGAGATGTTTGAAATAGATATAGCACACAAGCCAGCACAGTCACTTCATATATATATATATATATATATATATATCGCTAAATATATACCGATAAACACTTTCTCAAACTAGGCATATGAGTTAGTAAGAAGACTAAATAACAATAATAATAATAATACCTTGGTTTCTATGGTTGTACATATTACACAGATGAATGTAAAATGTAAATAAGATTACGCATTATTTTGATGACAGTTTTACGTTAGTGATATTAGATACCACATAACTATAATGGTAATAAAATATTTCATCAACAAACAATGCCAGAAGTTAGTGACTAGCAATGGAATTCAAGATGCGTATTTCGTCTTATTTGGGACTCGTCATCTAGATGTACCTGCATTCCACAGTGATTAATGATGTCCCCCCAGAGGCTCGAACCCAGTGCCCATAGTTTCAAACACCAAAGCGTTGTCCACCGGACTACTTACGCCACAAGAGGGCCACCTCTTGTACAAGGGGTCATATTAATTATTTAATTGAATTTTAGATTTTCCCCTCGATTGATTAGGCATCCAGTTGACGAGTCTCAAATAGGATGAAGTGCGCATCCTGACTGGATTCCACTGCTAGTTAGCATCCACCAGTCAACTTCTAATTAATTGCCAACATATTGTCGAAGCATCTGTACAAGAAGCCGACATGACCGAGCACTTCGGTCCAATCAATCGACGGGAAATTCTAAAATTGAATTAAAACAAACAATGGCGCCTAAAGTATCATTTTGATTTTACTGATACACAAGAAGAACTCAGATAAGTACTAAATAGCATAACTGATTGTTTTCAATGTGAACATGCAGTACATATGTATCGTTGAACTGAATGATTGTAGAGTTCAGAGAAAATCATTAAGGGGTGTCCTTTACTCGTTTTAATAAGTGTTTGTCACTTTCATATAGTTGCTGTTTTCCGAAGATTAATTTATATCATCGTGAGAATCAATGTGTACTACTGTTTTTAATAGTTTTTAATAACTATATGATCGCTATTTTAATTATTCATATCTTATTGATACAGGCTGCATCGGTAATTTAACTAATTTTGAAAAGAAAAACAAAAAAAAAGAAAGTTGAATACGCTTCATAACTTACCAAGAAGTGTATTTGAAGGAATAGCGTCAATTGATGTGATAGCTCTTTCAAATGTGTTCATATTTACTGAAACTCCAACACCTGGAATAGGAATTTAAGCATCAACAATAGTACAATATTTAATAAAAGTTTTTTTGTATTTTCCAATGAATGAAATACAAAACAACACTGTTGTTTTTAACTGACTTTTCGCTATTTAATGCTGCTGCTAGTAGCTTTATCAAAGTCTTATTAAACCAGAATTTACAAAATATCTGCATATATATAACAACTCAATCATCTTTCCTCAGTATGGGGTAATTTTTACGTTGTTGTCAATTTGGTCAATTGTTAAAGACAACAAATCCAGGTGTAGATTGTTGGATTTGATCCGTGTGTGACATTATAAAAACACCATGTGTTTACATAATGAAACTGCTCGCCACATTCATGTTGATTTTGTCATTTCATGGCGGACGGGGATATTGTAACCAGGTCAAACTCTGTTTTAGTTCATCATTCCTATTCAGACAATTCGGATTCCATTTGATATGAAGTGCTTCTGATGATGTGAGACGTTCTTTGTGATCTATGAAATTTTTCTGGAATATTTCAATATTGTCAAAGTCAATTTTGTGACCTGATTCTATAGCGTAGACCTATGGCTGGCCGATGATTTTTCAAGCTTTTCTAGCTCAACTGGATTTCTCAATGGTTGAACAGATGCTCTATGGTGATCATTTCTTCTGATCTTGATTTCTCGCGATGTTTTTCCTATGTACATTGCATCGCATTCCGAGCATTTTATTTTAAAGACACAATTTAATCGAGAATCTTTACGGATTTGATTTTTTATATGGACGAGGTTGTTTCGTAGTGTGTCTGACGTTTTGAAGAAAACTCTAATGTCGAGCTTATTGAGTACTCTTCTGATATCGTCGGACGTCTCTGCTCTATATGGAATGACGACTGTTGATGTCCACGTTTTCGGAATTCGTTTTCTACCATACTTAATGTTCGTGTTGATTTTGTTGATGAAGTTCCTTGGGTAGTTGTTTTGCATGAGAGTCTCAGTTATTTTTGATATTTCTTTTTTTTTTTCTTGCTCATCCGTTGTCAATGCAGAAATGACCTTATACTGAGGAACGATGATTAAGTTGTTATATATAAGCTAAGATTTTGTAAATTGTGGTTTAATAATACTTTGATAAAGCTATTGACAGCATTAAATAGCAAAATGTCAGCAAAAACAATATCGTTTTGTTTTTCATTCATTGGGAAATGCAAGAAACTTTTATTAAAAAGAATATCATATACCCAATGCCCAAATTTTTTCAAACTGTTAAAAGAACAATATTTAGTTTACATGACATAAACTTATATAAGTTATTACAAACGTATAGTTTACATGACTATTGTTAGATAGTTGGGAGAGATAGGCAATAAGCCTTCGATGTAGGTTTCGAACTTGTTAACACTTGTTAGACAGGTGTATATGCAGTCGTTAAGGAATTCATATGCCTTCTGAGAGTCCAACTCAGTTCACACATTGCTGCCATCATAGACAATACCACTGCTCTATTCAAGCTTGCCACTGACCACCCCCTGTCACCTCTTTGTAGGACTGACTGCAATGAATACCTTAGTTGAACACCTGGTAGTGACTCATGTCACGCGTCTAGTCTTTGATGTTGGTGTAGACTGGATTCTATCGGTCTAGTTTACAATATCTCCACCATGCCACTAGTTGGTTCGCCATCACAGTGAACCTAATCTCCAATCATAGTATTGATTACAATCCTACATGAAGAGTTTCACATTTACCTACATGGCGGCTTACACCAAATCTAAGAGGTCACTAAGTTATACGTCACATACTGTTTAAATAGTAGGCAGAAATCACACCAGTACTGTACTACAAGTAGTAGTGACATTCACCCAGGAGTTAATCAACTGTGTCGAAATTTAATCTAATTTAATCGCTCACACCACTTTCCACATAAATGATAAGTGTACAATCTCAGTCATTTCATATCCAGCTGTTAAATATAATTTCAATACCAAACGATATTTGAAACGATATTATTTGATGAATTTCATAATCTGAAGATTTTAATAGCTAATCAACTAGAGAATTTCGCATTTACAAACCCCTTGCAACATCACTGCAAAAGAAAATAAAACGACCTGAATATTCAAATGGATAAAAGATCTCATTTCGTTTACATATCTTTAAGTAAAGACACAGTCTTGACAATGCAAAACATGAAAATGCATTACTGAGTCATTAATTTTCATTTAAATTTCCTAGCGTTTATATTTTCATTTAATTCAAACTCAAATATTCAATTATCAATGTAATAAATATTACTACTAACCTTTTTCAAAATAAAAATGTGGACCACCAATAAATAATTGTTTAGGTTTACTAGGATGTTGACTAACTGATGCACCAAATGTACAATATCTTAAATCAATTGATTTATCAGAACCTTCAACATTTAAACAAATTGCACTTGGCGCAGGATTCAATTGAGGATTTTCTAAACGTTCATCAAATTCAAAACATCCACCAGGTACATACAAAGATGATGCTGATGACCATGAAAGACGTGGTGCACAAACCTAGAAAAACAAATTAAGGAGGAATAATTTAATCATCAAAATTGATTAAAAAATACGATAAAAAAAGTCAAGGAATATTGTATTTTGATATTGTTAACACAAAAACAATTGAAATGACTGAAACACATGTGTAGACCAAAAGTTTTATATATGATAATACATATAACAGAACACTAGATAATAAACATTCTTCTTGCCATTTACAATATTCTTTTCTATTTAGACAACTGTTTGCAACAGAAGGAAAGTCTATCCTTATACGTGTACTTGATAAATCAGTAAGAGGTATAGAGGTTTCGCGTGCGTTTCGGATTGCGAGGGCGATTGTTACTTCCCGGCTGCCCACACCATGGAAGTTGGTTGCGTGACCGCAGAGCCCAGGGGACAACTGCTTGTGGCCGGTCACACGTGGCCTGTTTTTGTTCGTTCTCTTTTGTTTGGTGTGCCTCAGTAGCATACTTATCACTCCTGCCCTGTGACACGACAGTAGGAAGCGCGGTCGTTGTTAATCCGGGCCACGGCCGATCCGGCATGAAATTTTGTGATTTTGTATTGATCATGATGTTGGATTGCGTAGCTGCTTTTTGTTTAAGCGCTATCCAAACAACCTGGCCTGGCATGGTAGGACCTCAAGAGACATAAGTCTCAGCCAGTATAGCTTGATTAGGGTCATTGCGATGTTCAAGCCCGACCACCACGTCAAGGTAGCAGCTTTCGGTCGGGTGATAAATCAGTAAAGCCTATAAATATTAAGTTTAGGTTTTAGCTAGAACGAAGACTAGTCATCAGATAATTTAAAATAAATGAGAATGTAAACTCCTGATACTGATACAAAAATCAATTTAATTTAATTTGTTAAATTTCGTCACGAACCAGCATCTGTTAGAGAGAGAGAGAACACTGGAAACCAGGGAGTGCTGAAGAGTTGTTTCCTACAAGTTTAAGGTTCTTCAGCAGTACATAAACACACAAAATCCCACTAGGAATCAAAGCCAAGCTTGTTGACTATGCAGTCACTTGGGTTGGAATTCAGTGGCCTGTAAATTTCAACCATGTCAAGTGGTGATACAGCGCTCTCCTCATAAACGGCTTTGTGGGTCACCCACTTCACCTTGACATGATGACAACTTCTCATTACAGCTTCAGAACATCCATCCCGTAAGCACCAGTAAGTTGGAGATTGATATTTAGGTTATGGTAATTGTGAGGATCCGGGCTAACTGAATTTCAATTTTTAGATTACTTCACAAACCAACGTCAGTTAAAGGTTCAAATTTCAAAGCCAGAAAGAAGCTACATGAGTACAAACTGTTGAAGAGTCCCAAAATAGGACGACACATATGTCTATTCTTCTCTAGTCCTTAGTTATCCTTCTAATTGATGCTGGTTTGCGACGAGATCCAGCGGTTGGAATTAAATTACACCAAATCCTCACAAAACGCATAATCTAAACAAAAATCAATGTTGAATGTTTCAACGCATTCACTGATATGTGATAAATTAAGACCTTCTACTTTCTTTGATAACCAGAGGAGATACAAATCTAAAATCTTTCAATAAAATACATGTTAGCTCTCAAAATAGTTTTGTAATGGAAACTTTGTGCAGAGCAGAAACATCATTACCAGTAAGATATTTCGAAATGATGCAAAACTCTTATTCGAGATAAATTAATAACATTAGTAAAGTATAATGTGAGAGAAAATAAATAAGGATGTAAAAATATTATGATCAAAAGTCACAAAACGCCATAAAACAAGTTTCAATAGAGGTGAAGTCAGCAGAAAAGAGCTGTGTAGCTCATTCGTCCTAGTTTGAGACTCTCCAGTAGTACTTTCCGATGATTCTACCGGCGATCACACGAAGTAACTTCAATTCACTAGAGGTGAGCTCATTGCAGTCGGATGGAATCCATTGGTCAATTCATGAATTCTAATGTCTTTCATTTCACAATATATCACCTCACCGCCACTCAGTGTCATTGACCAGTAAGTATTTGTCGTCATAGCCAATCTGGTAGATCCAACTGGTTACACCTTCTCATTAGAACTCCGGGAAACTTCTAACTGATAACAGTGCGTGATCAGAGTTGAAAAAAAATCAAATCCTCAAAACTAACTCTTGTATATTAATCTGACTGGATACAGAACGAAGTTGCCTGGGTTTCTAGTAAAACGTCGTGACCAATGGTGTCGGTCAACCGGGTCAGATGCTAGGACAAATACTTCCACATGACGTTACCTGACAGTGTTGGAGCTAAAATCACGAACTGACACAAGTTAAAACGTATGGGCTATTGGATCGCGTCCCAGCGACTGAACAGCCCAAGTGTTTGGCCCTATAACTTGAAGGTCCAGGGTTCAAACCCTGTTGGGGTAGTAGGTGTCTACGCCTGAAGAGCCCCAACCCTGGAAGAAACAGTCGTCCAGTACTTACTGTTGGTCTTCAACCGTTCTCTGACTGATATCAACCCATGATTAAAATTAGAGCGATTACATTATAATAGTTCATTCATTAGCAAAATGAACACGCATCTTTAGTACCGTACTTCTACTACTAAATGTGAGTAGTATATAACTGGCTGTAATGAGTGAAAACTCTCATTATGAAAGATACTACTTAAACGTGCGTCGGTGGCACAGTGGTTAGGACTCTCGCCGATCATTCACATGGTCCGGAGTTCGATTCTCTATCGACGCACACCTGATATCTATGGTCGGTCAACAAAATTTGAGCTACCGATATCACACTCTGAAAATTCCATACCTGTACCAAAAATACGGTGTGGAATCAAGCTATAATCAAAATTTATATCACAGGTAATGATAGATGGGGAAATGAATTTCCGATTCTCAGTAGATTTTGAACCAGCAGTGTCTGTCCGAATTATTATTAGTCTGGCGCTATACCAACTGTGAGCCACAAGACGCAACCCAACTATACAACCAAGTGTGATCATCTCACAGTATTCACCATAGGGAATGTACAACTGTAAGGATACGTCACTGTTCAGCCATCATTACACATAATAACGGAGTCAGACTTTCTCCTGTTAGTCAACTTAATCATACTGACTTCAATTCATACCTCTGTGTCCAAGTGCAAATTGCCATTAAACGTAAAAACAAATCAAAGGCATTTAAATTGCTGAAATTATTTTAGCCCAGCTAAATTTATTCAGATGGTTGATAGTAAAACTGAAATCATTACTAATTGTATTCATTATAACAAGTAACATTAAAATATCACAGAAAGAAAAAAGAAAATATGGAAAAGCGATTACTAACATAATGATAAATAGTTATAATATGCATCTTTCTAACTAATGTATTTCATAGCATTTCAGTGTATTGGATTACGTCATAAATCTGACGTAGGTTTCACATGAAGTGTATATTTTTGAAATAGTAATACAATACCTGAATTTATGATGTAATAAAAAAGTGATAAGTTCTTAATGATGATAAACTTGTAATTATGATATTATCAGTAGAACTATACCAATAAAGGGAAACTTCAGTTGTTGGTTAGCAAGGATTTGATCGGTTACATTTTTAACCATGAACTGGCACCAGTTAAAGAACCACTGGAAAACAACGGAGAATTGGATATCTCATCCGTCCTAGTTTGGAAGTCTTCAGCATTACGCACCCATCACAGTAGTTCGAACCCAGGATCTTCTAGTTTCAAGGTGAATTCAAAGGCCACTCAACTACTGGGACCCTATCAAATGGCCAGCCCATGAGTTCCATCTTCTACCAGTTCACGATATTGCGCGACCACTTATCGGTGGCAAGTATTTGTCCTGACATCCGACCTGCTGTAAACAAAAGTCTGAATTCGTGGGCTACTGAACCGGGTTTCAATGACCTAATGCTCAGCGCGCTTGACTTGTAACCAGAAGGTCCTATTTTCAAACTTTAATGGGCGCCTACTGATGAAGAGTCCCAAACTAGGACGAAACAGATATCCAATTCTTCTTGATGGTTTTTCAATGTCAGATCATGATGAAATCCTGTAAATGATCAAAATTCCTGCAAACCAACACCTGAATAATATTATGTTGGTTTCCTGTTTTGGAAACACTCATTCAGACTAGTTGAGAATAACAAACAGGGAATAATAATAATAATAATCACAAACAGGATCTTCAGAAGTGTATGTGACCTTAACTAGTGATGGTATCTGTAGCAGCCATTACCACCTAGCAGAAGTCAAGAATATTCTCCTGTATCTAAAGTAGCTGGATGTGTGAATCCTGGTTTTTCTCCAAAATCTTAAAAAATTTACCAAATGAATCGGATTTAAAATCAGTGGTTAATGCAAAAGTGATTACTTTTACACAGCTTTCAGTACAACTTAGTTTCGTTCTAAGTCAATTTACGAATCATCACTGGATTAGCACCAGGTGGATCTGTGACGTGTGCTATTGATAAGATTTATCAGTAGTACATAAGGTGACATCTATCGGCATAAAAAACAATATCAAATAGCAGGGAGATAGATCTGATGTCAGACAAGGCATATGATACAGAGTTGCGGAGATACATGGGAGACGTGAAAAGGAACACAAAGAAACACAATATGAAGTAAAGGGAGAAGTAGCATAACACGTAAGATCTGTACATTAAATGATGGATTTGAGATAAGGTGTACATAATTTCGCTATATAGCGATACTAAATTCCAAATAGAGACGAATGAATCCCAAGTGTTTGTCCAGAAATCGAACGATTTCAGACTAGACTTTTATGCAGAACTGCAGTTTCTAACGACTAAAAGTGAAAGGTTTACACAATACACTGTCTAGCTTTTGAAAGTTTTCTGTTTTACCCTTCCAACCTACCTGTGATAAAAACCTTCCAGTAGTTGATTCAAATATGAATGAATCAATTTTGAAGCATTTAAATTTTGATCATCAACTGACTTCACTTAGAGAATCATTGGAAAACCAACAGTGGATGCTGAACAACTGTTTCGTCCCTATTTGGGACTCTTCAA